CTGATCCCCATTCTCAGTGTCTCTAGACTAGGAACATAAAATTAGGAATAAACGTGCAGTATCCTTGAATCCTCATAATCGTGATCTCATCACAGATACTCAAGAAATACATGTTCTATTCCAAGGGGTTTATCCAGTTTATTCATAATATATTAACAATAATATCGAGACAAAATATGAAACAGGATAAAAAGTGCTTATTATTTATTTGCGACAAAAAGGTCCACATCTTATGTCCTTATTTAATTAAAAAGATTGTCTCTAGGACACCCATATACTAACAAAGGTGAGCTTTACTACTGAGTAGTTGGCCAGACTATATGTTCGCGAGATTGTGAGACTTCACGGGGTGCCCGAGAGTATCATCAGTGATAGGGACCCGAAGTTCACATCTCGGTTCTGGGAGGCGCTGCATGAGACTTTTGGTACGCAGTTGACACTGAGTACAACCTATCACCCTCAGACTGACGGACAGACTAAGCAGACCATCCAAACATTTGGGGACATGTTAAGGGCTTGCACCTTGGAGCAGGATTCAACATGGGATAGATACCTACCATTGGTTGAATTTTCGTACAACAACAGTTTTCATGCTAGCCTGGGCATGGCACCCTACGAGGCGTTGTATGGTAGGAGGTGTCGGACTCCTACCTGCGGGTCTGAGGTTGGAGATAAGGAGTTGTTTGGCTTGGACTTTGTCCAAGATACTATCCTGCAGATCCAGTTGATCAAGGAAAAGCTGAAGCAGACGCAGAATCGTCAGAAGAGTTACTATGATGTGAGGCATCGTCCACTGGAGTTCAGTGAGGGTGAGCACGTTTTTGTGAGAATTTCACCTATCACCAGTGTTGGTCGGGCACTCGGAGTGAGGAAGCTGAACCCGCGATTTATTGGGCCCTACCAGATCCTTGGTAAAGTAGGACCTGTTGCCTACCGGCTTGCCTTGCCTCCGAACTTGGCCAACATCCATGACGTGTTTCACGTGTCTCAGCTTCGGAAATATGTAACGGATCCTTCGCACGTGGTGCAACCGAATGATGTGGAGGTTCGGGAGAACCTAAAGACTCCCGTCGGACCACTCAAGATTCTCCATCGAGACGAGAAGCAGTTGAGGAGAAGGATCATTCCGATGGTCAAAGTGAAGTGGACTGGGAGAACACCAGAGGAGTGTACTTGGGAGCGAGAGGACGAGCTTCTCCGGCAGTATCCCGACTTCCGAGACAGGTATGTATCTGATTTTGAGGACAAAATCCTTAAAAAAGTGGGGTGAATGTAAGAACCCGCACCGTTAATTAAGGAAGTTAATTAATTAATTATGTGAAATTAGGAAATAATTACATAATTGACCCTAATAATAATTATGAGGCTTAAATAATTATGGTAAGTGAGTAATAATGCTGAAAGTCGTTTTTCTGACGAAAAGTGCAGATACCGGTTCTGCTACTCGGTATAATTGCGTACCGACGAAGTATCACGAAAAATTATGAAAAGTGTGTATATGTCACTAGAATAATATATAGGACTTGTAAAACGAGTTTCAAGTTAAAATAATGAGAATTGATACTATAACTGATACTGGCTATGGAAAAGCGCGTATCGAAAAAAGTGCTGCGAAAAATAAAATAAAAATATGATAAATCTTAGAAAAATGAGTAGGTTCTGAATCCTAAGTTTGGGATTAAAATGCTAAGCGTAGCTATTAATGCTAATACAGTGTGTTTAAGGCTTAATTGGACTATTTAAGGGCATGACACTCACTTCTAGGTCAGATTATTGTGCCTCCTACGTAGAGTTTTCTGTAGAGCTGCTGCCACCCTCTCTTCCATGGTCTCCTTGCATGGAAAACCTCCAAGCCACCTCCTTTCTTTGATTTCTTCACCTCTAAACAAGTAAACACTTGGGTGTGAGCATTGGTGAGGGTGAAAGGTGTCATCTTCTGAGTTGTGAGCACTGTTTTTGGGGGAGTTGTTGGGCTGAGCTTCTTGTTGGGTGTAGTGGGAGCTTTCTCTTGGGTTGTAGAGGCTTCAAGGAGCCATCTTGTGAAGTAAAAGACTCACCTTGATGCCATTTTCGTGTTGTGGTGAAGTCAGTACCTTGGAGGCTGATTGGTGAGCTCCAAGAGCCATAGTTGCTCTGTTTTGAGCTTGGGTAAGTGTCACCTACCTTTGATCATGAGTTTTAATGGTTAAAAGAGGTGTCTTGACATGCTTAATGAGTTAAACAAGTAACCAACTGATATATGAACCTAGAACAAAATAAAAATGCATGCTTTAACGTTGGAATGGGTTAAAAACCCAACCTTTGGAGTGATATCTCGCGAAATGCAGAATCTGCATTCTGTCGCGAAATATGCGGATATGGATATCCGGATATGGTCTTTGAGATATCCATAATATTGATATCCGGATATGATATCCGGATATGCCCCCGACAAATATCCGGATATTCTGGATTTGCGTGAACAGTAATGGTACTGTTCATACAGAACTGAGCTATGGGTGTGTGGACCCTAGATTGATGAAGTTGGACTTCTGTAATGACTTGTTAAGTTAGAATCTAAGTGAGTAAGGGCTTGTGGCTTTGTGAGAAGCCTAAGTCATGAAACGTAAAAGAGAAGCGTTGTCTTTATGTTATATGTTTATGAGCTATAGTTGTTGATATGATTGCTGGTCCAAATCAGATTGTGATTATGCTGTGTTTGGACTTTGAGCTTGATTGGACTATTGGCTTGGATTATTAGCTTGCAAGGTAAGCTTTCGTGTCCTCGGTTTAGCCATTGTATGTTCCCCCATGGGGGGATGGTTTATATGATGATGTGTTTTCATGTACTGTTTTGTTGAAATGCTATGGAGCTGTTAAGTGCAAACTGCTTATGATATGTATGTGGTGTTTCGCCTAGCCAGGAAGCCATGGGGTGATCCTGGGGGCGGGTACAGCATGGGCTGGTACTGTGTGGGTAATAGACGTATTCCTACACTTCTCTGATCAGTAGAATAGTTATAACACACATGACATGATTATCTGCTGCATTGCACTGATTTTGGAACTGATATTGAATTACTGCTTTTAGAACTTATATTGCACATGTAAGTGAGCTTGGGGTGGAAGATCCTTGAGGACCCCTTGTCTTACTGAGATTTCTTTTTAGAGATCTCACCCCACGTTTGGGGCACATATTTCAGGTTCAGGTAATGCGGGGGTTGAGACCTCTAGCGGCAGGAGGCCAGAGCTTAGCTAATTATATGCTGTTATGCTGCTTATATTGGATGCTGGATATTGACTGTTGCCTTTTATGCTTTTAGCTTCATGATGTTATTGTTGAGACTGTTGTGAGGCTTTGTTGCCTTATTTGGTGAGCATGGGGATTGCTCATGCCACATTGACTTGACTTTATGTTTTGTTGTTTCTAGTTGTAATTAATAATGTATCAGGATATTGTCCGGACTACGTGTTGTAGATCCGTGACTTAGATAATCACATCTATGTTATGAGATATTTCAGTTAGTTGTTGGATTGCAATCACATACAGACGATATTTTGTAATCGGATTTTAATAATCAACTTGGCAAGTATAATGATGTCATAATTGAATAGAAAAAGTTATTCCGCATTTTTATATTAAGCGTGACTTAATACGATGACATGTTAACAAACCGGGTTAACACATGGTGTTACACATTGCACTTTGTTTTCCTTTACCAAGTTTTTAACCCATTGTATATTATGCAAAACTTGACAGCATACAATGTACTCTTTTTCCTTTGCTGGTTTTTTTCCTATTAGATTTTTCTTGGAAGGTTTTAATGAGGCATGGGCTTAGCGCAGTAATGTCCATAAGGGAGTGTTATAAATGGACATTACTACATGAGAATGTTGCAAATGTACACTACTAGGCTTTATCACACTTTATGGGAGATCAAATATTGTAACAACAGACTATAAATAGACTAGAAGATGAGAATATATTTTGTAATCTTCCCCCACCTTCATCTATATATTAAGGTGATATGACTTGTATTCTGATACACTGAATAATATAATTTTTGACTTCTTCTCCGTTACTCTCTTTCTCTCTATCTTGTAACTTTCTTTTCTTGAATTGATTCCATTTATTGACCACTCTTTTCACAACAAAAGTAAAATTATAAGAAATTTTTTAAATTTCTTCCTTTGACTAGATATTAAATGGTATAAAAAGTATTTTAACTTTCTCATGTTATAACTTTTTTATTTTTTTTGGTAATCTTCTCGTGTTATAACTTAACTAGTGATGGGTTCAGCACTTATTAAATAAGAAAAAAAATCTCTACACCTAAATTGAAGATCGAAGGATCACGACATAAAAAAATAATTCTCATGTAACATGATACATATTTTCCCCATAAAAAAATAGTTTCTCAATAGTATTTTTGTCAAAAAATTTTTAAAATAAAGAATGAAACAAATTAAATTAATAATCAAAAGGTCGTTTGATACTTTGTTTTTTTATTAGACAAATATTTTGTTTAGGCAATTCATGGTTTTGTCATTTTGAGCCTCACAACCCTTCTTCTCCGATCTACGGGAAGCTTCTGGAAGAGCAATTAATAATTATATCTCGCTGTCCTTTATTTTTTCAGTTGAACGGCTTTCGTCTCTATTACCCTGGAATACAGCACGGCTTTCGTTGAAGAATCTCCGGTTCTGGTGCTTGTTATTCGTTTGTAACGATCCATTGCTGCTTCTTGATTTTCTTTTGATTTTAAGTTTAAAATTGGTTGATTTGTCGAGGAAGTAGTAAAATGGAGTCTGGAGCACTAGCCTCGTCAGAGAAAGAAGAGCAACAAGGAGCCTCATACACGTATTGGGTTAGGAAAATCACCGAAGATGCAGCACCTTTGCCAGTGCCCCACAAGCTAAGCCAAGAAGATGCTCCCCATTCTCAATCTCAGGCTGCCACGCTTGGTTCAGCTTGGAATCGCGTATGACCTTTTTTTTTTTTTTTTTTTTATAACTTATATAAAAAGAAAAATCGGTCATTCGAAATTTTCACTAACCATTGGATCCCGCTCCTGTGCGATGGTTGTTCAAACGATTTTCAGGTGAGCTAAATCAGTGTATGTAATTTATGTTTATACTTAATATTGCTTGGGTGCATTAGTGTTTTCGGAAGTCAGTGGGTTTTGATTCCATAACTGTTACGATTCTGAGTTTTCAGAGTGAGAGATAGGAAAACAGAGAACAGAAATGAAAAGTAAAAAAAAAAAAAGAAAGAAAGAAAAAGAATTGATTTACAAACAATGAACAAAGCGGAGAGTTCTCCTCCAAGCGTTTACCATGTTTTACAAACTAACAAATCTGAATGACCCTCTCCTTCTTTCCCCTCCTTATAGGCCCCTCCTTTTACAACTCTAACCGCCTAACTAATTGTATAAGTACTTTGTCATGGGTCCTATCAGTAACCTATTGAAAGGATTTCAGCATTACTCTTTTTTTTTTTAAAGGGCAAAGAAGAGTCCCTCTTGTATTACTTCTCGAAGGAGTTTGATTTTATTTTATTTTTTAAAATATATTGTATATAATAAAAATATTGATAACTGATTTCAAGAACTGTAGTATGTAATATTTAATATTAAGGGACATAAAAGTTTCAAATCATTGTGAAAGAATATATGAAATTTATTTAGGGAGAAGTACCATTAAATATTACTTTATGGACAACAATGGTTTAAGTAGTTATAAGCAACAGTCAGACAAGCATTCCAGACTTTTTCTGCAATGTCTCAAATTTTAAAGACAACTTTTTTAATGAATTGACGTATGGAACAGATTGTGGCTGTTGCTTTTATAATGCTTGATAATGGACATTGGAAGGATGATAATGGGAAGAATTAGGTTATTGGACCAATATTTTTTTTTGAAGATAAATATAGAGGTAATGAATAATATCTAGCATGTACACAAACTTCCATCAGTTTTCTGTTTGATCCGATGTGGCTGTGTTATGTATTTCTCGAAAAGGAGCTTTTGGAAGAATTAAATTCAGGAATACAAGTAAATTGTGGCTCTTGCCAACTTGCCAAGTTCGCGAGTGTTACAATCTACTTGATGCATTTTTGTTTTTTAGATATTGCAAATTTTCAAGGAAATGAAGATCTACTTATGCATTTTGCTACACTTAGTTTGGGATTATTTGGATTGTTAAGGATATAGAGTATAAACTATGCTTAGTTGTGTGGTTTTCTTATATCAATCAATCTGAATGTTGCAAAACTAATACAGGCTGGGACATGGGAGGAGAAAAGTCTTAACAATTGGGCGACTCCAAGAATTAAGGTTTTTGTCTTGATATATCCATATTATCTTTTCTTCCTCCTTTTATGATTGTCCATGTGTATCTGTGTCTACGTTTTAACCTTGCATGTGGTTTTGCTGAACTATCTTCGTCTTATTGCATCTCATAATCTTACATAAAGGGTCATGAACTTTCACAGCTAATCACATTCAATGTATTTTCTTTTGAGACTATGGTTAGTTATTCTATGCATTTTTTCAGGAATTGCTTATTTCAATAGGCTCCATACAGTTCTCCTTTGGCAGAGCAGAAGTAGAAGATGTAACGAAATGTGTGGGTGATGTAAGTGTATTATATCATATACTTCTAGACTGCATCTATTTTTGTATTCTAGGACACTGACACATACTACTTTGAGTCTTTTCGGTGCCCTTTAAAAATAGAGGCGGAAAATTCTGGGATGAGCTTTATATGAAACATAGTATTGTAAATATAGAATGTATAATTGTGTAATTATTACAGATTTCTTTTTCCCTTTTATTGGATAGATTATGATATGACAAATTATAGGGATGCTATGTGACAAATTATAGGTCTGATTCACTCCTTATTTGTTTCTCACTTTCTCTAGAATCAACTTTTTATTAGGAAACCAATCAGTCATATTGGTTCATATTACATGAACATTCAAGTAAACAATATTCAGATTCAAAATTCCGAATTTTAACTTGATATTAGAGCCCCTGGTCTTGGAGACTTTGCTTTTGCGAAACCCGAATATGCTTTCATCGTGGCAGCCACCTTCGAGGCGGCCTGTTAGAACAGAGTTCTAAGGAAAGAAAGAAACCAACAAATGTATTTTCTTATTCGATGATAAGCCTCAATGGGTCTCTTGAATTCTTATACAAGACTCTGTAACTAACTCCTATTACAAGCAATGACATACAATAGCTAACACGTGACAGTAGCTTACACACACACGTCAACTTGCACTTGCTTAACACTACTTACAAACTAATACACCAAAGCAACTAACTACTAAACTCCTACTTACAAATACAACAGAGCAACTAACTCCTTACGTGTAACATTACCCACCCCTACAAAATGGACCTTGTCCTCAAGGTCCAAATGAGGTAAAAAAAAAAAAATTAACTCATCTATACCCACATGGTGGAGGCAGTACGTCAAGCAGCTTTTTATTCTCCATGGACAACTCAAAATCAGCAATTGTTCCAGACACAGGGGTTTGGAAAATAGGTTTAGTTAAGAAACCATACTTTTCGGTGACCTTGTAAGGGGCTAGTGTAGATTTGCATGTATCCTTTTTTGTAATCTGCTTTCCAAGTTTCTGTTTTTCGTGAGCAATCTTGAGGTTTGCTTTAAGAGCTTCGGTTGATGAGTTGTTATGGCATGATGTGATCTTGCAATCCTTTATTTGTAACAGCATGGTCTCATTGGCAACCGAACTGACTACCACCGGATCATCTACAAATGACTCTACATGATACTCAGAATGTGATTGAGAAATTTTTTTAGAGGCAGAGCTAACTAATTGATGAAACATTGATCTTTCTGATTGATGTGATTGAAACTGATCAACATTCCTGATTGACCTGAGCTCCAATAGACAATTGTGATTGAAGAACTTTTTGAATGTTAATCTCTCATTAGGATTTCGATGTAAAAGGCTTTTGCAAAGATCCAAGCAATCAAAATGTAGCTCTTTTAAAGCCTTTGGTGGAAAGTGCAGTTCAGTACATGCCAAAATATTTTGAAAAAACTGCAATTGACTATTTCCATCAAATGGCGGCTTCCCAATCACTAGCTGATACAATATTGCACCAACACTCCATAAATTAGCCTTGGCATCATACTTTTGAATTTGAATTATCTCTGAAGCCATGTAATAAGGTGAATCACACAGTGTATCTGCCAACCCCTGGGGTGTGAGAGACCTTGCAAAATCAATATCCCCTATTTTTAGAAAAGAAAATCCTCCAGGGTCCCAATAGAACAAGGGGTCAGATAGCATTATGGACCAAGATCTTGTATTTAGGCTAGGCATTTCATCAAACAAGTGCCTGGCATACTCATTCTTGGCAAGATTGGACAGCAAGGGAATGTTGAAGATCCTCCCAAATTTGGGTTTCATCATTTTCTTCTCAAAGCCAACCTTCGCAAGTGCATACTCAACTAGCTCCATAGAAGGAACAGAGAGGCAAGAAACTAGGACTTAACGACACAAAGAAAATAAAGAAATAGAGAGGCAAAAGACCATATGAAAGAAAAAAGGCCCTTGATATTATTGGCATTGTAAATGAAAAGAAATCCTCCAGGATCCCAAAAGAACAAAGGGTCAGATATCATTACCTTACCAAATAGAAAACATGCATTATTTTTCTTGCAGCATTTATCTGAGGCAAAAAATATGACTTTGAAGTGAGATGTATCATCATGGTCCGTCATTTCAGCAAACACCTGGTGTGCATAACCAGATAATTTCTGCTCATGTGCACTGGATGCTATTGCTTCATGCGCTAAGCGGCTCAACTGAATGAATTGCTCCTTTGTTTTTTTATATCTTCTTGAGCAAGATTCAACTGGTTCTGCAATTCTGAACTCTTTTCAAACCTTGGGGTTTGTGTATCTGGTGGAGAGGAGGTGGGTCTCGGTGAATTCCGCTCAATCGCGGACTCTGAATTCAAAAATCGCGGTGATCGTCCCACAGAGAGATGCAAATTTTGCAAGGGAGATGGTGATTCTGATTCTGAATTCCATAGCTCTTTCTCCAAAAATGAATTCTTTTCCTTCGATTCAGCCATTTTATTATTGGCTTCTTCATTTTCTTCCTCATTCACCTTACTTTCTCCTCCCATTGTGTCCACCATCCGCACCAAAATGCCATTGCCGAAGGACGACTGCTGCAGATCCATCAAATCAAGCGAGTCCACAGCATCAACCGACACCTTCTTGGGAGCATGGTGGATTTTCTTGAAGCAATTTTGATCTTGCGTTGCACTTGCTGTCACAACATCAATACCCAAAATTGCAGCATGAATTTGCTGCAACAGATTATTGATCTTGGAGAACAAAGCTCGATCTTGAATAAGACCTTTTTCCATTCTCGTTAAAAAATATGACAAGTTCACAATGGTGAAAGCACCAATGTTAGAACAGAGTTCTAAGGAAAGAAAGAAACCAACAAATGTATTTTCTTATTCGATGATAAGCCTCAATGGGTCTCTTGAATTCTTATACAAGACTCTGTAACTAACTCCTATTACAAGCAATGACATACAATAGCTAACACGTAACAATACATGTGACAGTAGCTTACACACACACACCCGTCAACTTGAACTTGCTTAACACTACTTACAAACTAATACACCAAAGCAACTAACTACTAAACTCCTACTTACAAATACAACAGAGCAACTAACTCCTTACACGTAACACGACCCATCACTCGAATTATATTCTGGGCATACATTATGCTCGAAGACCCTATTTTTGGGCTTATACAAACTTTAGTCGCTGCCTCCAATGTCTTTCGTTGGCCACCTTCTTTGGCCAGTGACCCCACTGTCACACTTGTTGTCCTTGGAGCATTCATCAATTGAAAGCTAATTGTCGGCAGCCTAGCCACGTGCGTTCACCTGCGCTCCATTCTCCAGCACTTCAATTCCATGAGTTGTGACCAAAACCACTTGTAGATGCGCTTCTAGCCACCATTTTGATCCCCACAAGTGCTCTCTCCTACACTCCATGGTCGAGCCACCTATTGCACCTCCGACAACCTTGTTTGACACTCAAGCTACTCATAGTTTTTCTAAGATCAACTAGCCCATACTTCTCAATCTATCATCCATCTTGACTCACAACACACTCTTAATGACATCCTGATTATGCATCAGACCAACCATCTCATTGGAAAATATTAATTATACTCGTCCAGGTTGTTTTGACTACCCTTTAAGTGTGCTTTAAGTTGAATCATATCGAAGGGCAACCTCCTAACAAGACATATCCCAAGTTCATCGAATGGGATAGTGAAAAATCTCTTATCATGACTTGGCTATGGAACATTCTGTAGAGATATAATAGTTTAACTTTCTAGGTTGAATTGGTTCTTTACACATTCCAAAGGTTAGTTTGGACTACATGTTCTTGCCCATTGCCCAAAATATTTGGGATTTCTTTTGGAAGATTTATTCTATTTAATAGGCATTGCCACTTAATACGAATTGAAAACTAAGATTTTTTCTACCAATCAAGGAACCCTTTATGTGATTGACTATTATGACATTCTCAATGGCTTGTGGATCGAGTTGGACTATTATCATAATCTCAAAATGGAGTGTAGCAAGGATGGTGCCACATTGTACAACTTTGTTGAATAGGATTAGATATTTGAATCTCTCTTCGGGGTAAATTTTGAGTATGACATTACTAGGGTTCAAATTCTTGGGAGAGGAAAAATCTTGACACTTTCTGAAGTGCTTTTGTGGGAATTTCATGTAACTTAGGAGTTATGGGCTTAACCCATATAGCTTTTGTTGTTTTATTCTTTTACCCTTATGTCTTTGTTATATTTGTAAACTCATTCCATTTGTCAAATGATGAATAAAACATAGTTTTCACATGGTATCAAGAGCTCTCATGTCCTGAGAAAGCCCTGTAAATAACCTTGAGATACACCACCCCAAAAGCTAGCTCAAAGGGTGGGAGTGCTCAAGGCCTTATAAACTCCACATTAGTTGCACATACAACCAATGTGGGACTATATATCTCAACACGCCCCCTCACACAAGAGCCCATTGGGCTTGAAGAGTGGATGATGCAACCGGCCCAGCCTACCTGTGCTAAGAAGTTCCACAAGAGAAAGTGGGGGACGGCGAGGCTCTGATACCATGTAAAGAACCTTGAGATACACCACCCCAAAAGCTAGCTCAAAGGGTGGGAGTGCTCAAAGCCTTATAAACTCCACATTAGTTGCACATACAACCAATATGAGACTATATATCTCAACAAGCCCAACCACCATCAAAACAAAAAAACCAGCCGGAAAACTGAAAAAACAGCACTGTCAAGGCTTTTTTTCTTTCATTCAAAGCCCTAAAGACAAAGTAAGGCTACCAATCACTGTATAAGTCCACAACCGGTTGAATCCCATCCTGTCACCACCGTCAGCTGCCACTGGAAAATTTTTCCGGTGACTTTTCCAGCAAAACCAGTACCATCAAAATCAGAAAGAGCTGATCCATAGGTTCCAAGAAGGCCCACCAGATTCTAACCACCCAGGTGTCGCCATGCGCCGGAAGCAGATCGGCACGTCA